AGCGCAAGCCTGGTGGGCCAGCTCTGAGCAGGAGAGGCTGGTTCCGACCACGCTGGCATCCAGCTCCGGCCACACAGAGGGGCCACGGGCAGGAACGAGCGCTCCGCGTGTGAACGTGCCTATGTACTCCGTCGTGATCATCATTGCCGCGTCGGAATTTCCCCACCACGAAGGCGCCACATTAATTAGCTGGCACAGATCCTTGCAAATGTAGGTCATTTCTTTCTTTATTTAAAAAAAATTGCTTTATTATAAACGATACTTCTTCTCTAAGCTGAGAGGAGACCCCGCGTGCCTACGGGAAGACTGGGAGAGGCCTGACTGCGTCAACGGAAGCAACGTTATAAATACGCTGCGAGTGAAGTTGAAAGATGAACCACTGACCTGGCGCAAATGCTTGTAAGGTACATAGGGGGCCGTGAGCTGCCCTCCTCCTTTGCACAGAAGGAGCTGGAAAACATCAGCAATAAAAAACATTTGGGGACGCCTGGGTGGCTCGGTCAGTGAAGCGTCCGCCTTCAGGACAAGTTGGGATCGAGCCCCGCGCTGGGCTCCCCCCTCAGTGGGTCGTGGGCTAGAGACACCCTCTCTCCTCCCTCGGCCCTTCCCGCTTGTGCCTTCCCTCTCTCTTTCTTTCTCTCTCTCTCAAATAAATAAATAACCTTTAAAAACACACACACAAGATGTTGCTTCTCTTTTTCGATTGGAAAATATAAACAGAATTAGGGCCATCTTGTTTTGTTTGCTCGCTGACGGTGGGGGACAAACCTTGGTCTAACCATCCAGAGGGCAGCTCGGCAAACTAAGAAACGTGAGTGTGCGTGCACTTCCGCCTAGAAATCTTACTTCCGAGAACCAGGGCTACAGAATAACAGCACGAGTACCCACGAGGACAGCCGGCACACTGCTCACAACCGCACGATGCTGGGAGACCGCGACGCGCCCCCCACCCCGTGCAGGGAGCCGGTAACAGGGAAGACCGTGGGCGCACGGGGGACCACAGGGCGAGGATTCAGAACGGGGTGCATCGCCGTGTTCCGATCTGGGTGGGACTCTGCCTTTCCCACCGCAGCGTTGGAAATATTTACAACTGGTCTTAATTTTGTAGTTACCAAAGCCGTAAAAAGAAGCAAGTCCGCGTGGGTGTAAAGCAGATCGCGATGGCTCTGGCCGCGCACGGCTCTTCTCCCTCCGTGCCACAGCTGGGGGCAGACCTTTCCTCGAACTCTTGGTGCCTGTGGCAAACAGCTTCCCCAGGGGGTCAGAGCACCTTGTGGGGTGTCCCTTCATTATTCGGGTATGAAACGGGCTGATCCCTGAGAGGCAGCCGCAGAGCCGGCAGAGTGTGGGGCGTCCTGCCTGCAGCACTGATTTTACCCCCACCCCTGGGGCTCCAACCTCCCTTTATAAGACCCCCTCGGGACCATGTATACAGTTGGCTCTAACACCCTGTACTTGTTGCACACGTTCATGTTGTGCCCTCCGCCCCACCCCTGGTTGGGAAGAACAATTGTCATAGGGAGCAACTGGGTCTTTCTCAGAGCTGTCACTGAGAGCACCGGGTAGACGGAAGAGCGAGCAGGCGGAAGGATGCTCTGGGGACAGGACGGGTCAGCGGCAGGTGCAGGGAGCCCACACCGAGTGCCCGGCCCAGCCACTCCGGACACGCGTCTGCTTCTGCCGCTGGGTACGTCCTGGGCTTCTCCGCAGTGCCCTGATCTTCCTTCCAAAGCCCCGCCTCTGGCTGGAGGCCACCCACCCTGCAGAGCCCACGAGGGCCCTGTCCTCCTCCTCCAGTGGCTTTGCCCCTCCAGGAGCTCCTTCCCCTCTTCCCCCTTCCCTGTGAGGTTCAGGCAGGATCTCACGCGCGGAGGCCCCAGGCTCCCCGTGACCTCCTGGGGACTGCGTGAGCTCTGAATTCCCACAACCCTCTGGGGCCTCCTGCTCTGCCCAGGCTCCTCATCCTGCCCCCAGCCCCCAGCCCAGAGGCAGAGGCAGGCGTGTCTTTCATTTTCGTCCTGATTCTGGGAACTTTTGTGGGCCGCATTCCCGGCGGCCACGCCGGCGTCAGGAGTACAGGTCAAGGACACCACGGAGCGCCTGGGCTGATGTGGTGCAGGGAGGGGGAGAGCCAGCTCCTCAGATGGTACCCAGGGGCTGTCCAGGATGAAGGAGCCCGAGTTCAGACAGGACCACATGACCTGGGGGGAAGAAGAGCGAACGGCGGAAATAACGTGAACCTGAGCCACGGGCAGAGGAAAAATCTGAGAATCGGCCACGCAGAGCGCAGAATCTAGCCCCTTCACGCTGCTGTGGTCCAGCCCCCGGCTCTCTTGGCAAACGCTACTGCAGCAGTGTCCTCGTGGCTCTCCCTCCTACAGCCCTGCCACCCAACCGCGGGATGATGCTGTCAAAACACCAGCACGGGAGGAGGCCACGTCCCTCCTCCGCTCTGCTGCCGGGGGGCTAGCATCCAGGACAGTGACACTGGGTCACTCGCATGGTCCACGCAGGGGCCTACCCCCCCACCTCACTCCCACGGCAGGCCCCCTCCCTCCCCTCCCCCTCCTCCCTCCAGCTACACCAGCCCCCTGTGTGAGGGGCCTTGGCCTGCAGGTTCTTCACCATTTGCTAGAAGGTTCTTTCCTTCTGGGCTCCTGTGTGCACTGCCTGGTGGGCTCTTTCATACGTCAGCTCCCCGCACGCCACATTTGGGATCTCCTTCCCTGGTGACTTTTCTCCTTGGCACCCGTTATGAGCCGACACCCTAAACGCTACATTCACGTGTCCCATCTTGTCTGTCTCCCCCTGAAACGCCAGCTCCCCAGCCCCAGACTTGGGTGTGTTCTCTCCTGAGGCCCGGACACACAGTAAGGACCGTGCGGCCAAGGGCCAGAACCCCCGGCCCGCGCGGGAATGAGGCAAAGGCAGGTGCCCCGCTCTGGGGCGGCCGCCGAAGTCTCACCAACGGGATCTGCAGCCGCCCCCCGTCCATCACGCACTCATGGGAGTGATGACTCTTCCAAGTAAGGAGGCCGGTCCCCGGTGATCCCAGCCCCATGCGCTCCCCACTGGGGTGTGCAGCTCTACAGAGCAGCATGAGGACGCCAGTCCTGCCAGGGCGCCAGAAGGAGACGACTGGAGCGGGCCTGATCAGATGCCGATGAGACACGGGGAATAGGTAAGTCCTGGGCTAACGAGCCATCTGCTGGGTGGTGAGACTTCCACAGCAGCCCTACCCATCCGTCACTGGCTTAGGCCCAAACATCAGAACATTCGACAACATTAAACCCTAATCACTGCGCTTGCTCCAATTTTCTGGTGACACGTTATCACAGCTGTGAGTCAAGTGGCCGGCTATAACCACCCCAACGGAGGCTACCCCCACCTCGAAGGTCCCCATGTCACTTCTAAAGCAAGTCTCTTGGTGCCCAGGCTCTGACATGGTCCCTTCCCTGGGCTGGAGGGGAGGGCAAAGCCATCGTCGTTCTTTGAGAGCTGACTCCCGCTCCCAGAGCAGGCCGTAGACATGAGATGACACGCACTGGACTGTCCAAAGGCCGAGGAAGAACTCGCCCCGTAAAGATGAGGAGGCCCGTCTTCCCCAGGGCTCCAGGCTGGCCAGTGCTCCGGGTGGCCTGGAGGACTCTGGAGAGCCTGGGCACCGGGGAAGGCCGGACAGCCAGGGAAGGGAACGGGAATGACGACGGTTGGCGGTGGTCAGCCTGGCGGTGGTCAGCCTGGCTCGGGAGAGCCTGGAGGAAGGGAGGAGCCTGTGCGCACCAGGCACTCTCTCAATACGCAAAACCCAGACATTCAACAGATGGCAGGCAGTGGCTTGGAATTCACAGAGAATGGAACAATCAGCGCATTCTCTGGCTGCATGGACGCTCGCTTCCAAAAGCAACAGGCACTTGGAGCCACTCAGCACTTACCAGCCCTCCCCCCATCTGGTTCCCACTGGGAGATCCCAGAATCGGGAGCAGCCTGCACAGTGATCTACAGGTCACCGACGGCCTGAAATCCCTTCTTTTCCCTCCTGCTTTTCCCATACTCCCTGCAGCAATTAAGGAGGTTGGGGGAGGGTGGGCAGAGCAGCGCTGAACCCAGCGAGAGCTGATGGCTGGGTAATCCTCTCTCCTGCTCCATTAAGGACAGAAATAAAATTGCCATTTCAGCTCTGGGTGCAGCTGGAAAGAGGTTGTCATTCCCAGAATGTACAGAAAACTTAAGGGAAGGATGCACAGGAATGAGAAGCAACTTTTCCCATTTCCTAGTCAGATTAAAGGAGGATGGCAATCACGGCAGGGAGAGGCTGAGCCTCGGGGAGTTGCCTAATGCCCAGCGGTCCTGGATTTGGTTAATGACCCGCCTTAGCTCAGGCGCCCCAAACGCCACCCCCCCCTGCTTGATTAGCCCCCTGGGGCAAAGGAGTCACGCTGAGCAACTGTCCTTGTGGGAAGGTGACCAGCCCTGCAGCCAGACGGGGTCGCTCTGGGGATTTCTGGGCGGTTGGTGGGGAGGGGCGCTGACCAACTCTGTAGCCGGAGGGGTCCGTCGCTGCGGGCACCTGCCCAGAGGTCACTTGCGGATAGGCTTGACGCTTGGCCCCGTCCCCCAGCGCCGGAGCCAAACGGAAGAAGAGGGGGTGTGCCCTAGTGTGGGAAGGGAGGAAGGGGGAAGAGGGAAGGAAAGGAGAAGGGAGGGAAGAGGAGGGACAGGGAGGAAGAGGGAGGCGGGGGAGGGAGGGAGGGGGCGGGAGGGAAACCGGGGAGGAGGCGGAGGCGGAGGGAGGCGGGCGGGGGCCGCGCCGGGGGCGGAGCCGGCGGCCGCGCGCGCCAGAGGCGGCGGCGGGGCGCACCGGAGCGGCTTCGGGGCGCTGGTTGGCTGGTCTCCGCCGTCCCCGCGCCGCCGCCCCCTCCCGCCTCCCACGGCCCGCCCTCCCCGCGGCGGCTGGCGTCGGGAAAGTACAGTGAAAGTCCGAGCGCAGCCGCCGGGAGATGGGGTCCGGCTCCTCCAGCTACCGGCCCAAGGCCATCTACTTGGACATCGATGGGCGCATCCAGAAGGTAGCTCCTCCCCAGCCTCCGCACCGCGGCCGCCGGGCACCCCGCGTCCCCCCAGCCTGGCGCCCACGCCCTCCCCCCGAGCCCCCAGCCGCGCCGCGCTGGACCCCCGCCGTGCGATCCCGCTGGGCGGCCCCTCCCGGTGACGGCGGTGAGGAGGTGGTCGCCGGGGCAGGGCGGGGGGACCTGGCGGCGGCGGGCGGCCGGGGTGGGGGCCGTCGTCTCCGCGTCCGCGCGTCCTGGGTCGGGGCTGCAGCCTCTGACAACTTCGGCTGGGGGCGGGGGGCTCTGCGGAGCTGCTGTCCCCACGTGCCCCTCCCCCTCGTGGAAAGGGGCGACCCACAAGGGGGTATTTTTTCCACTTCATGGGCAGAGCTCTCTCTGTAACAAATCTCATCAGGCCGAGTTTGTGTGTCCAGAGGCTGGTGCATGAAGCCTTTCATTTCCTTCTGACCGACCCCACAGCGGGGCCCCGGGCTGCCCTGCGGGTCGGGGTCCCCCCCGCGGACACGGTGACCGAGGCACGGAGGGGGCCCGAGTCCGCCGTGCCGCCCCCACCCCTAGGCAGTGGCAGTACTTCCTGGCCAGCGGGGAGCAGGTGCGGGGGGGGGGGGGGCGGGGCTTGGGGAGCAGGGGCTGTGCCCCGCAGCACCCCTACCTCCACCGCCCGTGTACCCCCCTGGGCAGATGGTCAGCTCTGACGGCGGAGGGGGGCCCTCAAGGCTGCTCTGCCTCCTGGGTCCTGTCACAGACAGACTGAGGGACAGGCTGGCCCAGCCCTGGGCCCCTCTGCCCCTCTCTGGAGGCATGAAGCCCTCCAGATGTCCACTGTCCCTAACCAACTTGACTCTCATAGCGGGGGCCTCCCGCGCAGACCCCCTTTGTTCCCGGCCCCTCCCTTTCTGAGCCCCTGGCCTGAGTCCAGAGCGTCCTGGACCCAGGCTTCTGATTGGCAGAGAGGAACAATAAGAGAGCGGCTTGGAGGGGGGCATTTCGCGCCTCCTGTACCCCTCCCAGGAGAAAAGCCATGGTGCGGCATCTCTCCCCGCTCCCAAACTTCAGCTGGACATTTCAGGGAAGCTCCCACCTCTCCCCTTGCTCTTCTCAAGGACCCCCCACCCCTTGCCCGGAAGCCAGGGAGGGATCCCCCAGCCAGTCACGGAGGAGGCTTGGGGGGGGGGAGGCTCCAGAGATCTCTGGGGTGCCTCTGCCGGCTGATAGCCTTGCCAGAAGCCACCCTCACTCTCCCCATCCCCAGCTGCATCCCAGGAAGTGAGAATCCCCTTCCCCCACCATCACCCGGGTTAATAGAATCAGAGAGCGGGGAGCTGGAAACCTCTGAGAGGCCAGGCTGTCAAGCCTCTCCCTTCATCAGGGCTGGGTAGTTGGTCAGTGGCAGATGGAGGACCGGACCCCAGTCCCCGGACTTCCAGGACTCGGCACCTGTGACCGAACCAGAATTCAACATCCCCTCAAAGGCAGGAATGACCCTCGGTGCCATCCGTCCCGCGCAGTGTACACACGCGTGTACAAATGTGCCCACATGTGTGCACATGCGTGTTCACACACAACGCGTGCCTGAAATCGTGTGTGCACACGTACACGCACAGATACACACACGTGCACGAGCCACCCACACACAGGCACAGACCCGCCCCATGCCAGCACACACACGTGTGCAAAGGTGCACACACCCTCCTACCACACCAGAAGAGAATCTCCAAGATTGGCCTTTGTCCACCTTTTGAAAGAGGTGAGATGAGATGCCGCCACTGGGTCAGAAGTGACAGCTGCTTCCTGAGAACTTCCCCAAGGTCCTCCCCCCGCCCCCCAGAAGCTGGATTGGAAGTGGGTAAGGAGCGGAAGAGAGGCACCGCTGGTACAGGAGGAGAGCGCCGAGTCTGGCGAGCTCTGCCCTGACAGGCAGGCTGGGTTGTAGAAGGCGACACCCCGAGGTTGGTGTGACCTCCAGAAGAACAGCCCCGGATGCACACCTGCATTCAGGGGGGAGGCCGTGGCCTCGGGAGGGGCCGCATCTGCCGCCCAGTGCTGGCGTCCCCACTCTCTGTGCTCTCGAGCAAGTCCCCGGGCAGCTCTGGGCTGGCCCCGTCATCTGTAAAGGGGGACGGCGGTCGCTGCTTTATAGACTGTTCTGAGAAGGACACGAGACCGTATGACCAGAGTGTGTGGGGCACTGTGGGGACGGGGTGGGCATCATGCACAAGTCCCTCTCTCTGTCTGAGAGTGGCCTTTGCTGATAGAGACGGCAGGGTGGGGGGTGCAGGTAGGCTGTGGTCTTGAAGCCTCGCCCACGGCCACAACACCTGTTAGTGGCTCTTGACCTTGCTCTGTGCCCTCCTTCTTTGCTGTTGACACTGGTGGAGCCTCAGAGCTGGATTTTTCGCCCTGACTGGGAGCCAAGGCATCTGGGGTTTCCAGGCACGAGCTGGGAAAGGACAACGGTACATGGTGGGGACCACAGATGTCTCCACTGAGAACATTCGCAGCATCGTTTTCTGTCGCCTGTCGCCACGCTTTCTTTCCTTAAGGTCCTGGGCACTGGATTTGGTCCTGCTCTGTCTCCCTTTTATCCTTCCGAGTGCTTCTCCCAGGAAGGTCATAGACACAGACCCCTGTGGCTTCCGAGGGGCGGGCAGGCGCCCTGGGGCGGGGGAGGGGCTGAGCCCCTGCTTTGTCTCCCCTGCGCTCTGCCCCTCCAGTGACCCTGCTCTTGGGTACCCCACGCTCCCCCCGTGAGGGCACAGGTGTGGGGGACAGTGACTGCTGCGGGTGTCATGCGCTCTAGCCAAGCTTGGGGGAACAGTCCCGCGTCATCCAAAGGGAGGCCGCCAGCCCGGTCTGAGGACGTGCTTGGGGTGATGACATGGGAGGCGTCCGGGGCCTTGGAGAAGCCACTGCAGCCGCCGGATAGTGAGTTCGGTGCTTTCAGACGTGAAGAAGACTCGAGACAACTCGCCAGCCAGCCCAGGCTGACGCAGTGCGGGACGGGCAGTGGGGTTTGGGGGATCGATCTCCCGCCTGCGGGCTTCCCTTCAGCGGCTTACAGAGGGGGCCGGAGGGCAGAGGAGGCTTACCGTCCAAGTCTGCGCCCCCGGGTCCCCACAAAGCAGCAGAGAGCTGTGCGGCTGCCCCCGTGGCCTGGGCGAGGTCCCCAGTCTCTGTGTAAGGTGGGGATGCCCTCAGTGCTTCCTGTCATAGAATCGGCTGGACAAGACCGTCACTGAGCCCGCTCTCCAGACGAGCTGTCGAACAGCCACCATGTGCGGGGGGCTGGGTCCCGTGTGAATGCGACACCCACGACTCTGTTCCACAGAGCGACAGGCTCACAGATAGTAAACCACAGCCGTGGCAGGGCGTCCGGTGACGGACAGAAGGACACGGCAGGCCCCGCTGGTGGGGCAGGGCCGTGATGCCAGAAGTGGGGGGCTTGAGGAATAGGCTCCCTTCCTTGGTGAAGACTGACTTGGGGGGGGGCCGGGGTGGGGGGAGGGCAGCCTCGGGGTGACCCAGGTTGGGAACTGCTACGTGGCCAAGGGGACAGCCTCACTCACCCCCATACACCTGTCCCCTTCATGCTTCCTCCCCCGCTCCTGTTGGAGGAGGGAATGGGAGCCAGGGGCCCCAAAGCTGGATAGCCGGGGACCCCCGCTCCAGAAGGCTCTTCTCTAGAAGCTGCTGCTTCTCCTCTTTGCCCAGAAGGTTTGCTTTTTTCTGTCCTCCGATGGCCCTGGCCTCAGTACCTGTCCTTTCTCCTGCTCACCCACGGTACCTCCAGAAAGAGGATGCACTCAGCTGGGATGTCCTGGGGAGGCCAGGGCCATGCCCTTGGCCTTGGAGAGGTGGAGGGGCCCTGCCTGCTAGCACGTCCAGGTGTGAGTTTGAAGCCTTACCAGTGAAGAAGAGGGAGGGGTTTCATGTGACCTTGGGCCTGGCTTTGGGCTGGGGCCGTGGAGAAGCCGCATCTGGGTGAGGACAGTCTCCCAGGGAGCCGGTGTCCACGCCGCCTGGGCCCGCTGGGCCGGGATTCCAGGTGGTAGGCCCCGGTTCCTCCCCAGGCTCCTACAGGGCTCAGACCACGGTTTTCCTCTGTGGCCGGGCCCTCCCCTGCCCCCACCCTTGGAGCTCAGGCCTCTGCAGCCCAGCCAGCCGCCTCCCTCCCTCCCACCTGCCTCCCTCTGTCCCCTCTGGCTCCAGCCCTGAGCCCTCCCAGGGACTTCAGGCTCCTCTGCCTTAATTGCTTGCCTTGGCGCAGACATGAGCTGCCCACTCTTCTTCGGGTCAGTCCTGTTTTCTGTTTTTGAAAGAAGGGGTACAGCTGCCCCTGTCTTGTTCCTTGGTGGTCGGCACGGCAGGACCTTGAGTCCCCCCCGAATCATGGGCACCTTTCCCCTTCCTGGAAAATATGTCTGTCCTGCCACCTGGCAAAGCCCAGTGACAATTTCCTTTCACTTTAAGATGTGTGCACCTGCTCCGTCCACGCTCCGAGCCAGCAGAGCTCTCCAGCCAGGGTGGGGGGGTGGTTTCCCTGGGCTTGCACAGGGCTGATCTGCTGACCAGGCAGACTCATGGTGAGTGCTCTGGGCTCAGGTGCTTCTGTTAACCCCGAGTCCCTGCCGGGTAACGGGGACTCCCCTCGGCCATCCCCAGCTGTTCCAGCACCTTCTGTGTATCTTCCTTTAAATGTTGATAGCCTGAGATATTCACGTGGGGACTAAAATGGTGACAGAGGCTAATGGCAAGGCAGGGAAGTTTGGAGAGGGGGGTCATCCGACACCGTCTTGGTTTCCAGCGTAAAACCAGAGGTGGTCTGTCGGGAGACCCAGAAGGCATTCTGCCTCCAGGCCTGCTCCCCTGCCCCTGAGCTCACGATGGCTCACAATGGCTCACGATGGCTCATGACGACCCATCCGTCTGTCTCCTGCTGGGTCAGAGCTGGGAGGCGAGGCTCAATAGGAACTCCACGTGTTCAGCCTCTTACTCAA